ATGAGAACTCCAAAAGGAAATTTCCTGAAGAAAATGCATGAGTGATTGCCCAGCTTACTTGGTGGTTATGGTACCCAATGTGGTTGTTGCTAAAGGAAGTTGCTAGCTGGATGCTGTAGTAATTTACATGGTTCTTAGGTGGTTGCTATTGTATCCCAGGTGGTTGCTATCATGTTACAATTAGTTATCAAGGTGTCCCAGGTGGTCACTATGGTGTTGCTAAGTGGCTGCTATTGTGGTGGTTACTAGGGTTTCTCACAAGTTTAGTACTTAAAGTTAAAAGTTTTTAACTTACATGCTTTTAACTTTTTTTAGTATGTTTTCCTTCTTCTATTTTATTCTTTTGTCCTCATAAAAAGAAAGGCAGAGTGCTCTTTCCATTATAAACTTTCTTGCCCTGACGTCCAGTAGCGCAGTGTTCACTCCGATTGCCTCAGATCCAGTTATCAAATCTAAAACTTGCGTTCCGCTCCTCTGTCCTCATTTGGTGGAGGGCTGCAGTGTCCATTTAGCGGCAGTTCATCTGTGAGATGGAGCCGGGGAGGGAAAAGGTCAGATCCCTCTCGAGTGGAAACTTGTTTGTCCCTCACAGCTGGAGAGGGAGCGGCCGGGTGGGTGGACAGACGGCTGGGCTGAGCAGGCAGCCGGTGGGACACTAATGAGAGAAAGAGAGGGGGATTGAGGTGAGGGAGGTTTTGGTTGGTGGGTGGGTGCCACCACGTTCAGACTGTAGATGGGGTTCTGCTGAATACCAATGTGGCCATGCATGAGATTGGTGTGTTAATAAGCAGTGTGGACGCAGTGATCCCTGCACTTCATTTTCTCTTTCTTCCCATCCCTCTCTTATCCTTCTGTACTCATCCAGCATCCACATCAATTACCCCAGTGAATTAAATCCCCTCAGCCAGCGCAGGGACATGGCATTTATAATCTGTGCAAATGATTTTTTTTTTTTATTCATCCTAATTTAATACTAAGACTTCGGTATTCCCGCTCCTTTTAAATGCGCTTTTATTTTTTTTGGGTGCCTTATTGCAGTAACAAAACTTCACAAGAATGAGATTCATATGATTGATGTTCTGATTTAAATTATTTTCTTTAAGTATGAAAATTTCTTTTGTATGCAGAAGCTTTGTCATGTCATTTGATCATTAGATTGATGTTGCTGTTTTACGCAAGCAAAGACGATGTTCTGTAGTTTGGCCACAGATGTTTATCCAAACTTCTTGATATAAATGAAAAGATATTAATGTTGATCTGTGAAATTATGCTTTTCTGGATACTCAGTGACTGCAATAGTCACTGAAGGCCTTCCTTCCTTATTAACAACATTGTCAGCACAGAAAAAAAAGCTCTCAGAACAGAGCTTAGAAATCAGCAGACCTAAATCAGTCTTAAAGGCACAGTGACAAAAATGACCTCTTTAATTTTCGCTCACCGAAAACCAGACTTTGAGTTTCTGAACATAAACGCTGATTCATTGTTTGGGAACATCGAAGGGGCCCCATTCATCTGGGCTGATCAGCCAAGGAAACGCTGCAGACGCTGGAAAAGGTGCAGGAGAGCCAGCGTTCTGGTTAAGCTGAGTCGGCGTGCTAACTACCCCACACTTTCCAGCATACCACTGACAAACGTACCGTCCCTGGACAACAAAAGCAGTGAACTCAGGGCACAGATCTCTTTCCAGTGAGAGACACAGGACTGCAGTATAATCTGCCGCACAGAAACCTGCCTTTCACCGGAGATTTGCGATTAGGCCTTTAAGCCTGTGGGGTTCTCTGTGCACCTCATGGACAGAACAAAGGACCTCTCCAGCAAGAGTAAAGGCAGAGGTGTATGTTTTATGATCAACAATGCTTGGTGTGATCAGAGGAATGTACACTTCACTGAGTCTTTCTGCTCCCCGGACCTGGAATATCTAATCATCTCGTGCAGACCACTGTGGCTGCCGAGAGAGATTTCTGGGGTCACTGTCACCGCTGTGTGCATCCCACCACTTAATTTATATACTTTTTTTTTTACATTTGAAAACGAAGCTGCCCTTCACACTATTTGAATGCACCATACTAAAAATTTTACTTTATTATATTTAAGTATTATTAGTAAATTAGTTAACTGATTATAAAAAATATGCAACATTTCATGAATTAATGGCAAAAGATAAAGAAACGTTCTAATAATTTAAATACGTTACCCAAAAATAAAAAGTACTAAAAATAAAAAAGATAAATTATACTTAAATGAAAACATGCAAACAATTAAATGAATGTTATAATAAATGTTATAATAATGTTATATGATAAAATGCTATTAATGTTTTTTTGTTTTGCTATTTTAATTAATTACTTTTATTACTGTTATTTTTTATTATGATTATTATTATTATTAGGTTTAAATTCTAAGTTTTGCTTTTTGTTGATTTATTTAAGCTGTTCAAGTTACTTTGACTTTACTTCTCTAGTTACATTGAGACAGAAGACACTGTAGACTTTACACAGAAACACAGGCCAAGGTGAAAAGTTGGGTCTTCAGGTGGGACGCTGAAGACTGTAAAATATTCTAGAGCAGTTTATTAGAGCATCTAAGAGGCCTAGAAATTGAATAGGGACATAGGAGTGTCCTTCCACCGTCCTTCCTCTACTTCTGTTATCTTCTCTGAACATCTGCCTGTGCAGCAGTCTGCAGCAGAGTCACTGTCCCCTCGGCTCCGCTCACATCTCCACCTCCTTCAGTCAGCTTCCGCTCTCTGGGTGGCCGTAAATCTACCCGGAGTGTCAAACAGCATTGCTTATTGTGTTTATTTCCATTTGTATCCACTTATCAACAAGGATAGCCTATGTGTCCACCTTAAAGATAGCATTGTGTCCCCTTGAAGTGCTCGCAAATCCTAGTTCACAAGTATTGACTTTCCACTGATATCCCTTGTTTATCCGGTCAAGGCCAAACAGCAAGTAATGGCTGTGTAATTGGATCAGATATCAGATCCCACTAGAGGCCGCGTGGCATCTTATCGGTCCAAAATCGCTGCTTTTTGTGGTTCCTCTGCTTTGGCAAAGAACCCTGAACATTACAGTCCTCTGCCTTGGATGCTTTTGAATATATTTTTGAAGAGCTGCTTTTAGAGCAGAGCTCCTGCCTCAAGCAAAAGGCACGAAGAATGCATTTGTATGCCTCACAAGTAAGGAAAAAGACAACCGTCTACAGGCATTCAGCTTGCGGCTATGCAAAAAGTACATTCTGACAGTGCTTAGAGCTTGTTCAGGTGGAATAAAAGAACAATACAGGTGCTCTTTCTGAGCAGATCTGTCATACGGCGGCAAAAAAGTAACATTTTCTGTTTACAACCTGGGACTGGTGAACGGGGAAAAAATATGCAGCTATGCGGCATTACTGAACACTTCACTGCACTTCTAGGAACATTTAATTCAGCAGCATAACCAGGAGGGTGACTTCTCCTGGCTATGCTGCTGAAAAAGAATATCTGTACTGGTTTTCACTGAATTAAATATTGTTTGTTTTTAATAGAAAATCATTGTATCATTTGCAGTGAATTGCAAAGCACGTCATTCATTAAAAACAGGCATTATGTTTTCACACTTTAAGAAAGGTACATATCATGGAAACAGATTTTTCTTTGCTTTTTTTTTTAAATAAATAAGTTTAATATAGTACGTAATATGCTTCCCACCTCAGTTCATACAATCCATATATGGAAACTAAGCTTTAAAAACAGCCATTTTTATTTTTTGTGACATCACTAAAAACAGCACATTTACACATCTACCTAAAGCAGTTTTGGTCCACCTCTTCTCAGTGACCTTACAAGTAGTGTTTCAGTCCGTAACGCTGGTCGATAATCATTTTTTTTTGTCTATTACCAAGCAACTGTGAAGAATGTTTAAAAAAATGTTAGGACAAAACTAAGTGAAATAAACTGGAAGCTCGAAAAAGTTAGGGATATTATTCCCAGGGAACCTAAGGCCCTTGGAACACAGGACGCTGGGAATATAGTTCCTTGGGAACATAGGATGCTGGAAATGTAGGATCATGTGAGACATGAACCATGAAAATGTAGCACCTACAATTTGTAGGCCTTGGAAACATAGGACCTTAAACATGTAGGACTGTGGAAACATAGGACCCTGGAAATGTAGAACCCTGGGAACATAGGACTCTGGAAATGTAAGATCTTGGGAGCATATAGGACGCTGAAAATGTAGGACCCTGAAATTGTAGGGCTATGGGAACATGTGACCCTGAAAATGCAAGACATTGTGAACATAGGACCCTAGAAACAAGGGACCCTGGGAACATAGGACCCTGAAATGTAGGAGCCTGTGAATTTAGGACCCTGGAGATGTAGAACCCTGTAAACATAGGACTCTAGAAAAGGACTCCCTGCTTTGTATATATGCTAGTTATAGTGACCTTGTTGTGCTGCCTGTCACAGTTGCCTAGAAATGCTAACATTCTACTTAAAAACAGAGGCTTTGGGCACCACTGAGAAATTCTGTAATACTCTTTTTTCTATCTGGAGTTGATGACAAGAACCTTAGAAACTGTTATTCTGTAACAGCTGTTGTCAAGTTGTCATGTTGACTAAACGAGATTTCAGAGTTAGGATTTTCTGTAATGCGGCTCCTGTTTTCTTTTTTGTCTTGATGCTAACACTTTGATTGCATTTACAAAATCTCAGTAAAATTCAGTTTCCTCGCGTCTTTAGGCTTTGAGTGAAGTGCAAAAAATCCATTAAAGAAGTAATCAAATTTGCATTAGCAGGTGATTCACTGAAGACTTATGAAGGCTTTTGTAAAACGAGCTGCGTTGCACAGAGTTATCTCAGAGAGGATTCAGTCACACCTCCTCAAAACACTCACACACATACGCAGTACAACTACAGCAAAACCCTTTAATCTCCCTTGCATTTCTCATTTTCCCTGTAGTGCTAAACAAGGCACAGAAACTGAAGCTGATAACCTCACACACTCTGCTCTGTGTAGGTGCTGGAGGCTGGTCTCCTCTGGACAGTGACCATTACCAGTGGCTTCAAGTGGACCTGGGCATTAGGAAACAGGTCACAGCCATAGCAACCCAGGGCCGATACAGCAGCTCTGATTGGACAACACGCTACCGGTTACTGTACAGTGACACGGGCAGGAACTGGAAACCGTACCATCAAGATGGGAACATATGGGTAAGTACTGCACTGTAGCAATGTCCTTGCTTGCTTTGACTGCTTTTCACTTCCAGAACCTTCAATACATAATGACCAGGCCGCTTTGGACGCAGACCTTTGATACAGAGCTTTTTATGTGCTACTGTGTTTTGTATCACTGTATAAAAGACAAGGCTTCCTTTCTTGTTGGATGCGCTGTGATTTTTCACTGCATGTGTATCTTGTTTGAAATGTTAGTTTGTGACAGACTAATCTATGAATTTTCAACCTCTCTGCATAACAAATAAATATAACAGCACTGAGACATCACAAGATTAATGGAGAAGTTTTTGCCTCAGCCTTAGAAGGTTACCTCACCCCAAATGTAGTCGATCAGCCAAGACATGTTTGGTGTTTGAAGGTTGCTTCTTTAGTTTTACACTGTTTTAGTTTTACTGCTACTGAGTGCCAATTAGTTGCATTACTGCTGTGGAGTGTTGATTGGTTGGCATTACTGCTACTGTGTGCTGTTTGGTTAGCATTACTGTGACAGAGTGCTGATTGGTTGGCATAACTGTTACCGAGTGCTGATTGGCATTAATTTATTGAGTGCTAATTGGTTGGTTTTACTGCTACTGAGTGCTGATCGGTTGGCATAACAGTTACCGAGTGCTGATTGGTTGGCGCAACAATTACGGAATGCTGATTGGTTGGTATTACTGTTACTAAGTGCTTATTGGTGGCATAACTGTTATTGAGTGTTAATTGGTTGATGTTACTGCTACTGAGCACCAGTTGGTTGGCATTATTGCTGTTGAGTGCTAATTGGTTGACATTATTGCTACTGACCACTGCTAGGTTGGCATTACTGCTGCTGAATGCTGATTAGTTGGGATTCCTGCTACTAAGGGCTGATTGGTTAGGATTCCTGCTCCTGAGTGCTGATTGCCTGACATTACTGCTGCTGAGTGCTGACTGGTTTGCATTACTGCTATTGAGTGCTGATTGGTTTTGTACTGAGCACTGATTGGTTGGCATTACTGCTACTGAGCGCTGATTCAAAGCCAAAGGTAACTTCATTCCTTCTCACCACAGACATGTGTTAAGTGAGGAACTAAGGAAGCTAACGTCGGACACCAGACATGGCCGTAATGAGGAAGAGATAAAAGAAATTCCCTTAATAAAAATACCTTTACTGAGCCCCCTCTGTTGCAGTGAAACTCACCTAATGTCAGCTGTAATGCTGATGGTTCTGTTCACCAAAGCCGACATGGCAAAGTTCTTAGCAAGGACAGCTGAAGATCACTGAGTCAGACTGGTGTCCTGATTTCTAGCATGAAGCCTTAATCAAGACTAAGCAATCAGAGGGGCTCTAAGAGTGACAGTGTGGAGGTTGAGGAAGGTGATTTGGGGCTTATCTGACAGGGAATAGCAGTGCTACCATCTCCGCCTGAGGCCAATCGAAGGGGAGCTGCTGCTGAGCGAGTGATCTGCTTCTGCTTTAGCTTTCTCTCTGCTACCTATTAAAGGAACAGTTCGGCGAAATGTCAAATTTATACAATTTTCTCCTTTCACTGAATGAATAGTCGATCAGCTGAGATACGTTTGTATCTCAAGTTTGCTTCTTTAGTTTTGCACTGGATCAACACTATCATGAGGCCAGTGTTGCTAAAAATTATTTAAATTTAAATGGTAACTAGACAGAGAAAGTTTGTGAACAAACCTTAAGTTGGCTCGACAAAGCCAGCTAATAATGCTTCAGACGTTATCAAATGTGTTTGATACCTTAATAGGGTTTATGTAGTAATTCTGAGTTTATATAGTAATTCTAGGTTGCTGTGATGTTACGAGGTTGCTATGGCATTCCAACTTCATCATTAGGGCATTGCTTGGTAATTGTTAGGTGGTTGCTAAGGTGTTGCTAGGGCATTGTTATGCTATCCCAGGTGGTTACTAGGGTGTTGCTAGCATACGTGTATGGTGGTGGCATAAGAAGAGTGTCCGAAAAACATTTGGCTTACGAGTCTGTACTGTGGTAGAATAAGAGGTAGAAGTATAAGCATTGTATGTTTTATTAGTGGAATGGCTCAGTTTCAGCATATTAAGCATTCCCTGATTCATTCCTGTAGACAAAAAATCATGTTGAATGAACACATTGTACAGACTAAGTTGAACTGAATTGATTTAAAAAAGGACAAGCCATCTATTCAGACATAGGCTGTACGGTCCTGTTTAGTGGTTCTAGCTGAAAAGCTGCAGGAGGAGCAGTGTTGCAAAATTTTGACCGTAGAAGAATAATAAGAAAATGAAGAACAGTAGGTTGGCTTTTTCAAGCCATGACTTAAACTGTGTTGAGCTGTTAAGTTTAATAGTGTCTGATATACTGGATAAAGAATGTTGCATGGCTACAAACAGTAGTTTCCCTCAGAAGCTTGAATTTGTCAATGTTCATACTAGTATATCACAGTGTCAGAAACAAATTGGTATCATATAAGTAGGGCTGGGCCAGTTTTTTGCAGAAAAAACTTAAAACTGGGACAAAATTATTAATCAATAAATCATCTTTTAAAACCACAGGTAGGCTACATTACAGTACCATTCAGTATGTTTATGACCGTTTACATTTGCAGCAGAGGAGGTGCAACAAAATTATAAGGGCTTTTCACACCAAGACAGAGTTTTACAACTTTTTTTTTACCCCAAAAAAGGCAAGTTTTTAAAACATACACATTAATGCTAATACTTTGTTTTGCAGAGCTTATGGGTAATGCTGTTTTTTTCACAGCGGTGTTACGACTTTTTTGGGCCCTTATCCAGTATCTGCGTCTTTGAGGTGCACCGGCTTTTAAGAAAAATGGTAACCTTCTTTTCCCTTTACTACAAAATGGATCCATTTTCTGAGTTTTTAATAAAAAGCTACAGTTTAGAGCTAAAGAAGCAAATTTTTGACAAGCTGATTGCCAGCCTGTTCCCCTAACTATGCTTCTGTGTGTTTGGTCATTTATTGGCTGTGCTTTTGAGTTCACTTTCCATTTGCTGTGTATTACAGAGACAGCTGCCTTTGTCATTGCTGTCACTTCACCTATTAAGAGAGGTGCTGTTAAGGTAGAATGGAGCTTCTCTTGTATCTAAAGCCACTGTTAGCGTGGAAGGTGTTACCGGTGTCACGCTGAAGGTGTGTAGATTCTGCAGATTTGTCAGCCACGTGTGTAATCAGCTCTGTTATTGGCTATGGTTGTGTTCTTTTGCTGTTGATGAGGCACGTCTCCTCCCTTTTACGCCTCCATCTTCGGGGCTTTGTTTAAACCGAGTTAAATGAGGCCGTGATGATGAGAGCTGAGCCAGGCAGAGCGCGTGCTTTTCTGATCGGATCCCAGTAGATGCTGCCTGCATCGCACAAATGAATAGCGAATACCTCTCAAACCTCTGAAGGTTTGGAAATTCACTTTTTAAAGCTCTCAACCATGTCCTGCTAAATCAGCTACCTGGCTTTGTGCTCCATATTCATGTAGAAATGGAAGAAGCAGACAGGAGATGAGAAAACAATAGAAGGTTGGATTTTTTTTTTCTTTCAGTTTTCTTTTTTTTCCCCAAGAAATGCTCAGAGTGCTCTCAATCTGGAGCAGGATGATAGCACTTAGAGGTTACATTACTGGTTAATGCATGCTAGATCAATAATTTTTACATATGGAAAGGGCAGTGCATGGAACTGCATTAGAGATTCTCCTGCGTAGGCCTTAATTATGTACAATTCCACAGTAGGTTTATTATTAAAGGAGCAACTGAATGGCTCAGACTTTTTGTAACAGAGTTCATACAAATGCCTTCAAGTTCTAAGAGTTCTATAGTTTCTCTTAATATCTCTAAGTATGTTTGTTATAAGGAGAACACTTTATTAAGCATGAACCACACTGCAGATAGAGCTTATTCTATATATTCAATATATTATTACATATTATATATAAATATATGTATTATTATTCAGTAGCAGACATGGTAAAACACCTAATCACAAGACTGATCCTTTCAAACCTACCATATTCAGACATGCAAACAGTGAAAAATGGACAAATTCAGAAATTCAGTCCAGAGGCTTGCCGTTTGCGATGCAATTTGTAGACAGTCGTTTAGCTCTCATCAGACAGCCCACGTAAACCAAGTGTTCTACATCACCATTATACAGAAACAAAGTGCTTGTCTCTTAGATACAGATACTTAGTTGCAAATTTTAACAGGAAAATGCAGCGTTCTGGTGAAAAAAAATACTGGTAAAAAAGCAACAGCGACAGAATGACTCATTTCGTTATAAAATGGTGATTATTTTATGCACTCTAAGTTTTGATTTCTGTAGCCTATTTTAGAATTTTTTCCATGCATTTGTCCATCTTCACAAGTAGCATTACCTTGGTTGAATTTCATTGTGTCTGATAAATGCCACACTGTTACTCATCTTTGTATTTCAGTATCTGTTAGGTTTAAACTAAAATTTGTTTCATTTTTATTGTCCTTTGTCACATAGTATGCAATATAGCTTCTAGGGATTTTTCACATTTTCAAATGGTAAGTTAGACTTTTTTGTTAAGAAAATGATCTTCTTTCTAAGGTTATACATTCTCATGTTTAGGAGCCATGAGATGTCTGACCTCTATCCTCGACCAGAGGGCATTATAAATGTCTTACATTTTGTTCCTAATCCGTTTAGTCCAAAGAAGAAAGCAGAGAAAGACTACTGCAGCCAGCTAAAGACTCCCACACACTGGACAAGAAGCCCTTCACTGCAGAGCAGATGCACAGAGCACAGCTACAGCACAGAGGAGCATATTTTAGACTGTGTAGATTTCAACACTATTTAATGAGTTTATCACTAAAACTAACTCTTCACAAACTCGTTTTCAACTAATGTGTGTGAGCTGAAATATGATGTGACTGGCTTAGTAATGTTGGCTGTTTGTTTATCTTAAGGACTTTATATTCGCTGTTTTTTTAGAGTAAATTTTATCACCTTCTATGGTTTTGCATTCTGGGACTGGGTTTCATAT